CTTCTTAGCTATTTCAAATTGTCGGATGTTACAGCATTTTCGTAATTTCAAGGCATAAATTGGTACTTTCATAAGCCACCTGTTATTGCTTAGTGCAGTTTTTTTTCAATAGTTAACTCATTCCCACTTTCTCCATTTCATTCTAGGTTATTCTTTCTGAAGCTCTTGAAATTGTAGAGAAAATACTTTCCAAACGTTCTTAATTTCTTTGATTTTTTCTTTTATTTTGTCTATTTATTTACAGGAAATTAATAAATTTTGCGCTTTGCCATTGTTGAAATTTCCAAACACGCAGAAAGAGCAAATACAGTTCAGGTAACAATCTCTTTCCCAAGTTCAAATTTCAGTCGTATCATGTATGTGTGATTATTGCTCTGTTTCAGCTTCTCCTTGGGTTCTATCATTATTACCCTTATTTAGAAGAGACAGTTAGAGAGGACTAACATAAGATTAAAAAAGTTGTACCAAAAGCAAGTTAAATTGTACTATTTTTTTTTTCATACAGTACATGTACTTACAGATATATTATACAGAAGGGAAAACTGTCAAACACTTTTCAACTATTGCCAAATAGGGGTATTTTTGTCATTCTGCTTCCGTCTGAAGTGATAAGCCAGGCAGGGAAATTATTATCACTTCAACTTTTCAAAGGCTGCATTGTGTATGTGTCTTTCTCTCTATGCATTCATCAAACACCTACTCTTCTTCAATTGACCTATAATTTTTAAGGCTTTAGGGTCATCCCCATTTTCCCCCTTGTGCTATACGTTTTGTTTCTGCTTTTGCTTGTGTCTTGCTTCCTTTTTTTTTTTTTTTGTATATATACTAGATACAGGATCCCTGTTAGCACGGACTTAATATATGTTACTTTTTCTGTCGATTTTTATTGTCATGTTATATTTTTCAAAAATCAATTTGATTAATTTTTAAAATTAAATTAGATTTAAAAATAGATACTCAAGAACTATATGAAAAGTACTATAAATTCTATTTTTTGGCATATCAATATGATAAAAAATACATCGTAAAATATTAGTCAAAGTTATTATCGTTTGACTCTAAAAAATTAAACTATGACAATTAAAAGTCAACAGAGACAATATTTTTTTGTTCCAATTTATATGACATAAATAGAATTTGGAAAGTCAGTTGAATTTTAATATTTTTAAGTCATTAACTATTGTAATTTATATTACTTATTTTACGTAAGTTTTAAATAATACTACTATGTTACTCTCTCTATTCCATTTATGTAAGTTATAATACTACTATGCTACTCTCTTTGTTCCATTTATGTAGCACGTATAGAATTTTGATAGTCAACTAAATTTTTACATGCCTTTTAACTTTTTAAATTATTAATTATCGCTGTATCCTAATTAACCGAATGTTTCCAAAAAAAAAATTTAATTTCCAGGAACAGGTTATTAATGCAATATTTAATTAGCAATTATAATTATCAATATAACTACAGTAAGTGTAAATTTGGCCCCACAAGTCAAAAGAGAGTCTTAAATAGGAAGCAATCACACGTGTATGGAGTACAATG